TCTGGTTTGGTGGAAATAAATCCTGAATTCACAGACGTAGATGCCACCATAACCCCACCTTTACATACCGACACGCTGGTAGGGGAGCGGTGTGTTTGAGTCAGTGTCACACCAGTGTGTGTGTGTTGCAGGAGTGGAAGGAGCGTTATGGAAGCCAGAGAGAAGACTACACGGCCAGGAACAGGAGCAGTCATGAAATGAAGGAGACCAGTTACTCAGACACTGTGCCCCCCAGCAATACCAGACGTAAGTCCAGAAGCACATACTGCAGTCAGTAGCAGAGAAATCTCTCTCCGCTGATCATTACAAACAAAGCTGTTGTTTGTCGCGCAGAAGCTAAATATTCCCGGGCCGGGAGTCGGGCTGAGAGGGACTGCATCGAGCTGCTGCAGGACGCCGAACCTTTAGACTTCAACGCCGATTCCCTGACAGACGACCCTCTGGACGCAGACTCTGGCAGGTAAAGACGACTTCCATCCCTCCTGCACCAGCACTGCTTCTGCGTCCCCGTTGTTGTCTGTGTAGAGTCCTTCACATTACACATCTGACACACTTTAAAGAACAATAAGTGTTAACATATCACTCCAGTGGATCCACAGTGACATGGATAACGACAGGGATGATCCATATTGTTGGGTCACTTTCAGATCTATTTGATGATGAATATAATATATAATATCAGAGTAAAAACCAGAGGCAGATACAGTTTTTATCTTTTGTATTAAATGCTTTTATTTTTTTTATTTCCATTTTTTTGAGTTCTCTTTGTTCATTTTGGAGAGGCTAGCAAGCACTGACCCCAACGGTACCAGGTAATGTTAAAGGAAGACGATGTGAGTGAAACGTAACCATGGTAACTGAAGTGCTGCATTATGACTAGCTGGAGACCGTCTGTCCAAACACAAGCAGACAGGAGGAATATTTGTCTTCCTGCAGCAGTGTGTCGGTGAGAGTTGAGACCTTCAGTTGTGTATTTTGTGTTTTTTATTTCAGACACGCAGGAGGACGCTATCTGTCCATGTCCTCGTCTCGGAGCCGAATATTTGACGACGTCTGAGGAGGAGGAGAGATGTGAAGAGCAAGGGGAACCCAGTTGAACGTCACAGTCTACAGGAAGTGAATGTACCACATGACCTCCTCCACCTCACAGCTCACATGCTGTCCCCCCCTCCCCCAGGATGCATGGTAATTAAATAACAACCCGGTCAGTGAAGTCCTGTTACCTGGAATATCTTCAGAAACATGTTACATCAGGTCTCGTGTCCGGCTGCGAATGGAGGCTCTTTAGAATAAATCTGTATTAAAGTTCCATAAACTGTTGGTGTGAATGCAGACTGACAGATATTGATTCTGATCCAGATCCAGCCCCCCCCTCTCCTGTCTGTCTGAGCTGCATGTGCAGGAGTGTGAGCATGCTCATGAATGTGAGTCTGCAGCTGCATGTCGACACACCGCGTCAGTGAACGGTTCAATGAAGGTCCATGACTTTATTTATTTTGTTTATTCTTTGTTTATCTGTTATTTATCTGTATGTCGTCATAGAAACAGACACTGATAAACCTCGTCAGCAGGGCTGCAACTAACCGCTATTCTCATCCTCGATTAATCTGTCCATCATTTCTCCATTATTCGATTGGTTGTTTGGTCTATAAAATGTCCTCAAAGGTACTCCGTGTACTGTCATAGAGGAATAAAGCAACCAGAAATCTTCACATCCGAGGAGCTGAAATCAAAAACAACAACAAAAATGACTCAAAGCGATTAATCAATCTTTAAAATAGTTGGTGATTAATTTAATAGTTGACATCTAATCGATTAATTGACTAATCGTTGCAGCTTTACTGATAAGTTTGATGTACTGCTGATTTAATCCGTCACTTCATGTGAAGGTCTAATAACTTATTGAATTGTAATCATGTAAGTAGGTGTGAATGTATGAAAGCAGCTCTCATATGGAGGCAAATAAAAGCTGAAAACCTTCAAAAAATAAAGAAACACAGCTGCAGTAACTTTTAAAACAATAAACTGATCTGGTCTGTCTCGTGCTGTCAGGACACAGTGACAGTTTCACTTACCTTACTTAGTTACATACTGCAGCACTGAAGTATTTTATTTTGAAAA